CACACACACACACACACACACACACACACACACACACACACACACTTCTCTCTCCTGCAGTACACTTAGAATTTTTATCTTATCTATACCCATCCTTGTATCCATGAGACTTCATGAATATTTCTCACAGGTAAGGGAGCTGTGGCTGTGTTACATGTTTTACACATTCTTGGACATGAAAGAGCCTACTTAAATTCCTAATATTGGAGGCTAACTAAGAATTATTACAAATGCTCAAGTATGCTTCAAACCCTAGAAATAATTTTTAATGATTAGGCTTCATCCAATTGTCAGCCATGTCTCTCCTCTAAGACTCCTCATACTCACATCACCTCCTGTCCATCCTGAAACCAGAATGGGAAGAGTTGTTACGTTGTTACAAGAAATCCTGGCTCCGCCCCTGAATCTTTCTTCCACTCATGTCACTCACCACACTCACGTGTGCTGGGGCTGATAGGATCCCATCCAACAGGGGTGCTCAACAGATCCTAGCAGATGTCAATGTGACACTCCCCAGCCTCCAGAACTGTGAGCTAAATGTAATTTTCTCTGCACAATATCTAGTCTCCATTATTTGTTACATTGAGAGAAAATACACTATGACACATGCATGTCCCTCTGTCCTTTAGGAAACCAATGTACCAACCTACACCAGTTGGGGACACGTGTGCCTTGCTCTAGACACCTCCCATCAAATGCAAACACCTTATCAGAGTAAGGTCACTAGAATCAGAGCTGGGTGCTTCTGCTGCTGTTCACCCTGTCTTCTTTCTCTCAGTCACTCTTTTCTATTGTGGAAACTTGTCTCATTCTTGTTTCTTCCTCATTTGTACATGTTACAGCTAGCAACAGAGCAATTTCAGTAATGGGGTTTCTCTAAGAGACCCAGGGAAGGACATGGGTCATGTCTTTCCAGCATCTCTGTTGAGTTTCTCCGGCTCCTCATACCTGTGATGTCCACATGCTTCAGCAGCAGCAGGAGTCCATACCTCAGAGTGGTACTTGTTGTTTCTGTTCCAGCTCCAAACATGTCAGTGACAGTGGCCACCAAGCTTTCCATGGTAAACTCAGACTTCGGATTGTGCTTTTCCTAGGATTTATGTGGATATTATTTTGGTTTGCTGGCATACAATTAATTACAGTGAATCAAAATTAACTCAGATTGTTCTTAAAGATAAGAAACAAACAATGGCAAGTCTAATACTAAAACTACAATACCTAAACAGGATAGCAGAAAATGTTATTAGTTAACCCATACTTTATTTCCCATTCCTCAAAATTGTTTAAATTGTGGATTATCAATGTTCTCATCACAAAGAAATGATATTTACGTGAGATAATGAATATATCAATTGGCCTGACTTGATGGTTTTGTTATATGTATATATGTGTGTATGGATGTATATGGATCAAGCTACTACACTGTGCCCAAACACACACACACATAGGAGACAGATACATATATATGGGAGCCAGAAAATCATAGCAGAAAGAAAGGCAGCAGAGCAGAACAGCTCACCTTTCATAGCTAGGAAGCAAAGAGAGGAAAGAGACAAAGGGTATCGTACTGAAGAAACAGTTCGATGACATAACTTCCTCCATCTAGGCTTCAACTCTGAAAGCAATGGTTCTCATCCTGTATCATGACTCCTTTGGCAAACCTCTATCTCCAAAAATATTTACATTAAAATTCATAACAGTGGGGCTGGAGAAATGGCTCAGTGGTTAAGGGCACTGACCGCTCTTCCAGAGGACCTGGGTTCAATTCCCGTACTGGAGTCTATAACTCCAGTTCCAGGGGACCTGACACCCATGGCAAAACACTAATGGACATAAAATAAAATAAATAAAATTCTAAAAAGATTCATAACAGTAGCATGTTTACAGTTATGAAGTAGCAATAAAAATAATTTTATGGTTGGGGGTCACTGCAACATGAGGAACTGTATTAAAGGGTCGCAGCGTTAGGAGGTTGAGAACCACCTTTAAAAGGTTCTATCACCTCCCAAAAGCATAGTCAGCTGGGAAGCAGGTCTTTAGCACATAGCTCTTTGATAGACATTTAAGATCCGAGCTATAACAAAGAAAATACTTTTTCACAAAAACATAGTAACTAATTCTGTTAAAGAATTTAATTAGATACAATATTGACTTCCTCATTATGAACTCTGAAATGTGTAAACCTAACAGTACTGTTAGAAATCAGAATGTCTGCCAGAGAGATTGGGAGAAGATGGGCTGTCGGGCCACTCCAAGGAGTCTGAGAGACCCATGGAGACTTCGTGGAGACAGGAGGTAGAGGACGAGCCTGCTGAGTGAGCAGGATCTCCAGAACAACTGAAAAATGCCAGGTCTTATGGGAAGATACTTTTAAAAAGTGGTTTCATGGAACTGGAAAAAAAAATGACAGAACTAGAGACAGGTATGGGAGAGCAGCCTTGAAGAACAAAGGAACATCATGTTGCCGAGTAGGGCCACCAGGAGTCTTGAGCCACCACACCAGACCACCACCTGGCTCACTTCACCCCATCACTGCCATGCTGCTTGCCCGACTTGGGGGACCACAGCTGCAAACCCCAGGTGCCTGTGGGGCTTCGGGCACCAAGCACAGGGTGATGTGCAGGGGCCTGAAGGTTGGTCGGGTCCTGCCCTAAGACACACTGCCCAACCACACAACTACCCTGACGCTGAGCACACGCTATCCAAGATGAAGAACGATTCATTTTCTGGATTAAGTTTCCTCAAAAGACTTCTGTGGTCCATGCTGCCCCCAGAGACCATATTGATATCTGTGATCCAAGCAGCCATCGTAAACCATGTTGATGTCCACAATCCATGCTGTTGCCTGCTGCTATGGGCAAGGAAGCTTCTTTCACAGTAGCATCAATGACTGCAGACTCACAACGGAGAATAAGAGACGTTGAAGGCTTCTGTGACAACCTTCCACCTCCCCAGCCTTCTGGTGGGGCAGGGAGGACTCAGGGTCTGGCCCCTGGGAGTTTAACCATGCTCCAATGAATCTATGAGCAACACAACTGGACTTAGTGGATTTTTTGTTTGTTTGTTTGTTTGTTTCTGATGGAGAGGCACAGGGTAGGAGGATGGACCTGGGAGAAATGGGAAGCAAGTGTGATCTGGGTGCATTGTATGAAATTCCCAAATAATTAATAAGAATATTATGTTGGAGGGGAAAAAAGCAATCAGGATGTCAGTTTGGGGAAAGGAGCTGATAAATGGCCATTCATAAGTAAGCTTTACTGAGAAGGCCTTGTGAGAACAGAAGCCATGATCATTCAGATCCTGAGGTTGGAGACCATTGGAAGAGACAGTGTTTCATTTCAGAGGCAGCGTGGCAGGGCCTTAGAAGGAAAGTGGCCCCCTTCAAAGCTGGGAAGAAGCTTCATAACAAGTAATCAATTAATGAAATAAATACACAGGAAATGGAAGAAAGGTCAAAGCATATATGAAACTCTCAAAGAACTAATAAAAATGGAAGATATCATGTTTCTTTCTCCCTCCAGGATCCTGTCAGATTGCCCGACAGACATGTTCATGACAATATGACAGGGCCCAAACGGAGAGAAGGAGAGCCTTCAGAAACTCCAGAACAAACTAAATATTCTGATTTTTATAAATCTGGAGGGACTGGCAGGAATTTCTACACATGGTTCAGTCTGATTTAGTCTACATGAGTCCATGCCTGGAGCCAGGTACTTGGCAGGATCAGAAATCTTTCTTGAGGTGTGTATGTTTATGTTGCAGAGAGGGGACCATGAGTTCCCAGGGCTGCGGGAAGCATGGCCTGATTTCTTCAGGCTGACAACTGAAAGAGTAACCAATGATGAGGAGCAATGCCTGAGGCTGGCTTCTAAACTACACACATGCACACATCTGTACATACACATATACCTGCACACTCACAAAATTACACACAGATGGTACTAAGCCATAGCCAATGAACAGCTAGGTTCTGATACTTCATTAAAGTCCAAGGAGCAACACGCTTTATAAATACAGCACTGAGGCAAAGGCCACTGGTGAGTGAGTAACAGAGACCTTGGAGTCCAGCCTAATCCAGCTAAGTGGGCAGTCTTCACAGCAATATGGAAGCCCATCTCTGTGGTGATAATAGTTCTCCCCTACCAGCAGACAAGGCACAGATCAAAAGTAATTTGTGTCTTCCCACCCCCAATTTCTCCCAATTCTTTAGATTTTTCTGCTCTTTGCCTCACCTCAGCTCAAGGAGTATGTTTGCACTTACACATGCTTTTATTATATCTATATTATGCTTCTCACCCAGTTTTTGAACTGCTCCTACCATTATTCTTTTATATATGTGATACTTTATTAATTCTTTGAGAATTTTATTCAGTCATACAATGTGCTTTGATCTTATTTACCCTCTCTGCTCCTCCTAGTTCCTCCCAGATCTGCCTCCCATCTCTCAACTTCGTGTCTTCTTTTTATTGTTTGTTTGTTTGTTTTCTAATAACCCATGGAGTACCATTTGTGCTGCCCACATACACATGAGCACATGGCGGACTTACCAGGGACCACATCCTTAAAAGAAACAAATTCCTCCTTCCCCCAGAAGCCATCAATTGTCAATAGGTCCTCAGCTAAGGGTGGGGACTGGAGTGATCTCTTGCAGATTTGGGGTACGCAGCCACAGCAGCTGTGAGCTCATGAGTGCATAGATCCTGTCCTGTCCTGAAGACACTGTATTGGTCCAATCCTCCCTGATCTCTGGCTTTTAGAATCTTTCCACCTTGTTTCTGCAATGGTTCCTTAACCTTCCCTAACCCTATATTCTAGTTGAGCATATCAATACTCTCCTCTTGGCTAAACTTACCAAGGCACAGAATAGGTCTTTCTGCCGAAGTTTCCCACATAGCTCCTGCTATTTGCAGCATCCATCCCATTAACTAAAATGAAGCCTATGGGACTCTGATAATAGAAGACAGACACCTTGCATTTACTTTTGAATCTACACTTCTATAATCCAGATATGTATCAAGCTAAAATACAGATGATAAATCTCAATACTCCTCTTCGGTATCAATGCTCACCATTCTATGGAGTTCACAGGAAATTTACCCTGAGTGTTACCTGCATTAGACTCTAGTTCAGGCTTATATATACAGTATCAAAAATTCCCTTGTCAAT